ATTCAATACCCGTGTATGATGGCTGTTGTACTAGTTAATTTTATTCAGAACGACAATTGTATATCATATGGGATCACAATATAATTTAATCACATTAGTTTAATATTCGTGCATACAGGGGCGTAGCCAGGATTCCATGTTGACCTGGGCTAAAATTATTTTAATAAAATATAACAATATTGCAAATAGAAATGTTCAAGGTTTGTAAATGAAACCGTCAAGTAGGCGATTCAAACCGTCGATCAATAGTTCGATTACAAATTCTAAAATGTCAGAACCACAACAGAAGGTTGGTTTTAAAATAGAAAAAAAAATATTTGAAAATTTTGGGAGGAGAACCAAAAAAAATCAAAGTTTATTGATTATCCAAAATTCCAAAAAATAAATGGTGAAAAACTATCTAAATCGCTGTTTTTTTTAAATAAATGCTTTTATAAAAAATTCGGTAGTTTCTAAAGAATGTTCAAATTTTAACATTAGAATATTATTTGAAAACTAACATATCGAATTGAAAACCAGCAGTTTAAACCAGAACGTAACAGTAACAGTCTGTTCAACAACTAATCACGAAGCGCCAATAGCTAGTTATTGTTACTATTTCGAATTTTTATCCAACCGTAATCGGTTACAAATTGATTGTTTTATAACCAAGAACGTGCCTAATTAATTAATATGTACATTCACCTTATGAAATGCCCTGCATTTTGATCATAAACATTTAGATTTCATGAATTTGAATCTGATAAATGATATTGGAATTTAAATTGTTGCAAGAGAAAAACTAAAAGTTAAATACAAATCAGAAGGAAAAAAAAATTGTAAACTACTGGTACGAAAACATATATCTTCCAAAACATAAATAATACAATAAAAACTATTTTACTTACAAATCATAATTAAAATCTTGAAGACCCACTATCACTCTTAATTATTTTTTTTTTTAAGAAACCCGTCAACTTAATATATAGTAATAACCTAGATAAGTTAAAAATAAATCCTTTTGCATTAGTAATTATCAATAATTAGAAATTACAAGAAATGATATTTATTCAGACAAAGAAAAAAAAACTAGATTACAATTGGTAATGAACTATTATTGGACTTTTCGTGTGAAAAAAGTGGGTTAGAATTGTTTATGGGCCAACTCCAAAATAAATTAGAATTTTATATATAATAGTGATGGTTTCTTGAAAGTCACCCTGGGCTAGAGCCCGGGCAACAGAGTAAGTAGCTCCGCCCCTGCGTGCATACATGATTGTTTGCTAATATTTAACCTCATTATGCTTGTGTGTATATAAATGACTAAATAGGTTTCTCAAACTCCTCCTACATTGCAGCAATTTTGAAATAATAATTTTTGAACTTATATAAATTTTATAGCAGTTGAAGATTATCGAATTGTGATTAATTTTATATAAAATCTATGGAAAGCGTGTTGATAAAAAAATATTAAATTTTTAAAATAAATGTATACTATAGGTTGCCCGTGTATTTTATTTAGTAAAACTTTTCAAATCTAAATAGAATACTTTTTGTTACCGAAAATCAACTCATAAGATTGCAAACTTGACACATTAAAATGACAACTACTTCTAACCGGTGGTGGTCTAATTTTTATAACGATAATAATGTTTTGGAA